GTTGCTGGGGGCAAGGGGTGCAATTGGTTAACAAGGGGGCATATTCCTTAACAAAAGGGCACTAATGAAAATGAAAGGGCATCTAAAAATTATTTTTGACGACCTCCCCCCTCCCGTCGCCAAAAACTTTTTGGTCAGTGTACCATTTTAGGGGTAAAAAAAATTTTCCGGACATACCACAATTTTCCTAAATACGAAAAAAATTTTCCGGACATACCGAAAAATTTTCCGGAAAATGTTATTTTTTCCGGAAATTAAAACATTTTTCCGGAAATAACATAGATTGATCCAAAAACCATGACCAGCCGACAATTTAAAAAAATAAAGTTAAAGTTAAAAAACAAATTCCGAAAATACAGGACATCTTGAGAATTCAATATATAATTCAAAACAAGACGCAATCTCAAACTGCGTCTTGTTTTGAATTATATATTGAATTCTCAAGATGTCCTGTATTTTCGGAATTTGTTTTTTACTTAACATAGATTGAATTTTTCAAAAATGCCCTTTGCGCAAAAAATGCAATTTTAATGAAAATTTTTCACGCAAAAAGGGCACTTTGTGCACCCGTTGCACCCGTATTCTGCACCCGTACTGCACCCACAAAGTTGAAAATGCAAAAGGCAAGGGGTGCAATTGCACCCGCTGCACCCGTGGTTCCGGCATCCCTGTGTATTAATTTAAATAAAATACATGACAGTGTTGGAAAAGCTAATCAAGGTCACGTGATTGCGCCGCCAACTCTATGCATGTACTCTCATCCTGGTTCAGATGCATGCATCATTGTATGTTAAGGTTTTAACTGATATACTGTAGGTTTAAAGTTCAGATAAAATTATACATTGCACTTAGAATTTGCAGTTTGAGTGCATATACGAAACAACTATAGAATTCAAGGCTGACATGATCTTACTGCATGTTATAGTCAATATAAGTTATAGCCGTGCAGCTTCGGCATTCTAGCTGTCATGTGCATTCAAGAAAATTCGGTAATGGGCCTATTCCTATAAATAAAAATATATTATTAATCCAAAACACCAAACACCATCTTCCATCACTATCACATCGAAATTTTATTGTTTTGTATACACTCGTTTAATTTTTCCTGATGTAAGCCTCTGATGTTCATGCATTATTCGTTTGACAGATAGTCTGTATGGCTCAGAAATTTTGAATCAGCAGCTAAACTACATTGTTCAGTTAGAGAAATGGCTTGGTGACGTAAAGTCGTGGAAGTTATGTTACCGTGCAACGGATAATGGTTGGGCAGGATCTACCTTCCATTCTCGGTGTGATTTTAAGAAACCGACTGTCACCATCATCCGTTCTCGATCCTACATCTTTGGCGCGTACAGTGATGTAGCTTTTGGAGGTTAGTTTATAATTGAATTTTTTATTTTGAAATAAAAAGCATGCTTGCATGTATATCATTCAAGCAATATAAAAATGAAAATTACGCATCAAACTTCTTCACAGAATTTTTCGATTTTTTCTTGAAACATTTTGATCCGTAAAAATTACTCAAAGTTACGACAAAATTGTATTAACATTTACTCCAATGAAATCAGTGAAAATCCTTTCAGTCAATTACTAATTTTCCTAACTCAAATTTTGACCAGTGGCTATCCGTAGCACGAAAAGCATAAGACTGAGATGTTGCATATAGTTTAGATATTTCAATTGACATTTCAGGTTCCAATTTTCTTGGTTTCTCCTTTTTCTTTAGGTTCGTCAAATTACAAGAGTAGTTCGAATGCATTTATCTTCTCCTTCGTGAATAAAGACAACCTCCCACCCTTCAAATCTCCTGTCTACAGATACAGTAGAAACGCTTTATACACTAGATCTACTTATGGTCCCACATTTGGTGGTGGTTATGATATTCATTGATTTCAAATAATGCCAATGCACAGGGACGCCGGAACTGGG